ATGACTTGCTTTGATGTTTGGTACACTGACTGCATTAGTGATTTGCTATCCACAGCACACTCTTACAGTCCAGTAACGCTCAGCATTGTGCTGCTACATTTTAGAACCTTTAAGGCAGTAACTTCAACATTGAAGAGTGGAATAATACCTACATTCAGGAGCTCAGTTTTCCATCTTTGACTTTAACAGATATTTATGAGCATTTTTTGTTTTTCAAATTAAGGCAACAAAGCAATAAAAAAAATCTATGTATAGATCCCTTGAAAGTGAAAAGACTCAAACTAGGCCTGTGTAGAGGACAAAAATCTCATCTGGGTAATGATATAAGACATGAGCTTGGCTGATATTGGGGTTTTTAATTCCAATACCAATACCGATATTTGGTGATCAAAAAATCAGATATTAAAATATAGCGCCCAATATAGTTTTTATTATATATAATATTGTTTTATTTTACGCTATTGTTTGTTTCATTATGTCGCAAAATAAACTGTTTTTTCATATATTTTTAATATTGGGTTTATCATAATATTTTTTCATCGCCACGCCCAGCTGAAAACACTTTGTGCAAGTCGAGTTGCCTGAGATTCACAGAATTTACAGAAAATGTAAAATTTTTGATATATATTGTTGTCGGGACGATAAATGTCTTATATTGGGATATGAGATTTTGGTCATACCGCACAGCCCTATAGTTATAACTACAGGCCATCATGGAAACTGAGGACAAAAGTCCTCACGCCTTATTACTATGGGGAACAGAGCTTTCAGTCGCTCATTTTGTCTTTCTGCTTAGAAACCCTATCAATGGAAAGCAATGGATACAACGTGTTTCAAAAGGCTTTTACTTTGAAGATGAACAGTCTTCAGTTTGTGTTGCACTTTCCACAGTTTCGCTACAGCTGTGAGAGTGGCTGGACTGGACAGTGTTTGTAGACTTGCAGTCAAACTATGTCATCAAGGTTTTTGCCATCTGGTTGGGAAAGATGTTTTTCCCTAGTGACGGGTGGTTGCCAGCAGGTCACTGACCAGCCTGTAGGCCTGTGTGATTGGATTTTTAGCAATTATTTTTCCTTGCAACTGCCATCGAACTCC